TGCATAGAGTGAAAGACTTTTTACCCACGAAAGCTTATGCCCAAATAAATCTGTTAGTCTTTAAGGTGCCACCAGACTCCTTGTTGTTTTAATAAAGCTGATAACTGTCCAAGAAGTTGTTTCAAAAATGTTAATTTCCGGTACACATTCCATTTTATCTTCTTTTGTATTTTTCAGGTTAAAAAATGGCACTCTATCTGCAATTCACTCTATTTTCTTTTCCTTCCTCCAACTGAGCCCTCATTTTCGGATACTGAATCTTCCTTCTTCCCATTCATCGGTGAACATCTAGTTGACTGCTTTTCTCATATGAAAATATTTCTTTTGTTGAGTATATTATGCATCAGTCGGGCATTTACAGGTATCCAGCCAACTTGTCAAGTGTCAGGAAGTTCCATTCAGTCAATAGCTCAATTCAATTTGAAAAGCTGCATTGTATTTCTCAAAGTCCTTCTGAAGATTGGAAAATTAAGGCTGGTAATTAATATGACTGGTCATTAAGAAACTTCTATCATCGTCATTATACATTAAAAAGTCTACTCAGCCGAATTTTAACAGATGCTGAGCAAATCCCTGGATTGGGGACAGAGAGGGTAAGGACAGGAGAGACTGTGTCTGAATGTAGAAAGGGTGGGAAAGGATCACGTGTTAATGGTATGAAAGGAGGGAAAGTGTGGAGCAGGCCCTGGAGACAGGAAAGGAGAGGATGGATTAGGCCTAAGAAGCAGAGAGGAGAGTCGGATCTGCATTGCTGCAACTGGGACATGGAGAGGCCCAGCAGGAGATGACTGGGTCTGACTGGGAGGAAAAAGGGGAGACAGAACAGTCTAGAATAGTGTGGGTTAAGCCTGGAGGCGCTGACTGAAGTAGGAGGAGTCAGACCAAATGGAGGATATATTGGCTACCAAGAGGACGTTCTAAGGTAAATTTACATTCTCTTCACAATCAGACCCTCCTTGTCTGAGCTGAGCACTATGGTACGCAGGCACACCTTCCCACCATAAATGTATGCATAGCGGTGGCTAGTAAAGTCTGAAGGGGATATCTGAGAAACAATTATTGGATTATTGATTGGGTTTTTGTTGCCACTGTATATTCATTCTGTTTGGTCTCTACAATGTTCCTTGTTTGTTCTACAGTGTGTTGTTCCTTGTTCATTTAGCTTGTCTGCTACTATACATAAAAAATGCAGCTTTATGTTTCTTATGGCCCTGGTGGAATGTACATGGAGCTAAGAGCCAAATCCTGCCCCCTCTCCCTCTCTCTCCCCTTCAAGTTGCTTTGGGCTCTAAAGCTAGCACAGGAGAATCCCCATGTAGTGCAGGGCTGATATAACTAGCCTTGGCCCACCCGTTCCCAGTTCTTGATGTAGTGGGCGTGGCCAAAATGCCACTGTGCTCCAGCAATTGTTGTCTGCCCATTGGGGGCTGTTGGAACGTGGTGAAATTTGAAGCAGCTAGCTGGCCCCAGGAGGAGCACAAAAAGGTGGGGTAAAGCTGTGCCAAGCCCTCATCTGTACCAAGCACTGCCCCAGCACAACTGAGGTTCTAGCCCAACGTGTGTAAAAGACGTAGGTGCTGGAACTAGAGGTGCAGGGGGAGGGGGGCATGCTGCAGCACCCCCTGGCTTGAAAATGGTTTTCATTCTATCTGGGGTTTACAGACTGGTTCCGTTGCTCTCAGGACCCCCACTATACACATTGTTCCAGCACCTCTGATGAAAGATAGTAAGTAACTTAATTTGGCCCATGCTTGAACCTTGTTACATTCTTTTAAAATGATATCAAAGGTATCTGAGTTTCCCCAATGGCCTAAAAAGTTACAGCTCGGCAGAGTGGAGGTGACAAAATTAACAATTACAAAATTCCTCTAATGGGCATCTTTTTGTGAGTAAACTCCACATGCTTCCAACCATGTTTGCTACCCATGGCAGGCCTTGTAACCCTGTCACTGTGTGAAGCTCACTATGCTGAGGTCATTAGTGTTTTATCATAAGCACTAGTTTTATTATTTTAAGACATTATTGATCAGGTGGGAAAACTGGTTTCCAGCCCACCCATGGGGCTCTCACGCACATGTGTCACAAACGACATCCTCTTTAGCAAGATGGCTGCCCCCATGTACAGGCTCAAAGTTGCCATCTATAATTAATTTTTTTAAATATACATTGTCATAGTCTAGCCATAGTGACGAGTCCTCCTTACCCTCTGAACTATTAGACTGTTGGGGTGAACAAAACAGATTATTTTCTTATAAAAGGCTAAATTAACTCTCCCACTGGAAGGTAACTCCTCTAATGACCTAATACCCATAAAACTTAAAAAGTGAACAACAATATGCACCGCTACACACACAGGCACTTACTTAAAATAAAAGAATAAATTCTAAGGTTATATTTATGTTTAATTTACAGACCTCACCGTTCAGAAGTGCAGGATTGCAGGCATAACCCTAATTTCTCATCCAAAGAAACTGAATTTCTCAGATGCAGAAAGTGCATGTAGACAGCTGGGGTTACAGCTGGCAAGCAAAACCCAGGTTGAGAAGGCCTGGAATCATGGCTTTGAAACATGCAGGTACGTGAAGTCTGTAAGTTACTAGCAGCTTTTAGCAGCTCCATTTCCTTACATACACCAATATGCTTGTGAATGCATCCAATATTAAAGGGACTGATACTTTTTATTCTAGCTTTGGATGGGTGTCAGATAAATGGCTTGTCATTTCTCGGGTTGTCCCAAATCCAAAATGTGGTCAGAACAAAACTGGAGTAGCAGATTGGAAAGTCCCTCTCTCCCACAGATATCATTGTTTCTGCTTCAATTCTTCAGGTAAGTAGGCATGAGACCTAGAGTCTTTACATTTAGTTTTATTATTTCAAATCTTCATAGAAAAATTGTTAGTGCTTTTTTTCTAATCTTAGATGGCCGATTGTATCTTTCCCCTCTAGGGGAAAAAAAAGAGCTGTTGCTAAATGCAGGATGCTAGATGGACAGAAGTTCCATTTAGTTCATCTAAATTAATAAAATGATGCTGTAATTAAAGTTCTTGAATAAGGCTTTCTTCACTATATTCAGTTATGTGGAGTCAGCTATGTGAAGCCCTTAGGTATGTTCAGTCATGCTTGTGCTAGTGAAAACGTTTCAAACACATGCAAACGCATAGCCAGTTTATACTCCTTCAGTAACAACAATGTTGTTTCATGATATATATTATTTTACTGCAAAAATAAAAAATGACCCAACAAACTAAATTAAATCTAAAAATACCTAAATTAAAATACATTTATTCTGGCTAAAGTCCATACTAGGTAGTAAACTCCAAAGCAACCATTGTTACATATTCCCAGAATCCCCATCTAGACAGCCTTGTATTTTACTTCAGACAGTCCTGTAACAGATTTTTAATATTGGGGGAGGGATAGCTCAGTGGTTTGAGCATTAGCCTACTAAAACCCAGGGTTGTGAGTTCAATCCTTGAGGGGGCCACTTAGGAATCTGGGGCAAAATCAGTACTTGGTCCTGCTAGTGAAGGCAGGGGGCTGGACTTGATGACCTTTCAAAGTCCCTTCCAGTTCTAGGAGATGGGATATCTCCATTAATTTAATTTATTTTATTTTATTTATAACAAGGGAGAAATTAGATTGTCACATTAGTGATTCCACCCAAGCCAAAGGAAAAGATGAGAGGGGAACTGATAAGTCTTCAAATATATTAAAGGCTGTTATAAAGAAAACAGTGATTGATTGCTCTGTGTGTCCACTGAAGATAGGACAGAGGGCAGAGATAAATTTTGGAGAGCCTAGAATGTAAATTGAAGTTTGAACTTTTTTAGATCCAAGAAATGGTGGAATGTGGAAAAAACAGCAATAAAGGCAAGTGATTTTGATGGAAGCATTTTTAATGGCCTGGAATGAGAGAGATGGAAGAGTGGAGAGCAACTAGGAAATGGAGTAATATCTAGGTAGCTGTGGGGAGAAGGAACGATGGATTTTGGAGATGGGCAGTGGGTGAACCCCAGGCTCAGGGAGGCTAGCCCCTGGCCCAGCCTGTTCCTTCTGCCCGAGGCCCCACCCCTCCTGCTGGAGCCCAAAGCCCCCCCCCTCCCCCGGCCACCATCACCTTCCCCAGTCCTGGGACCCCCCCCCCTCAACTTTGAGTGCCGGGCAGTTGGGCAAGTGGCATGCCCCCCCCCCGTGTGCCAGGTGGGCGGTGCAGCCCCCCTTCCCCAGCCCTGGAACGCCGGGTGGTTGGGTGGAGCAGTCCCCCCCAATCCCAGAGCACAGGCCAGCCCCCATTAGCCCCAACCGTAGCCTCGGGCCATGGGGAGGGTGGGGGAAAGAGCCCCCCTCAGCACAGCGCCGGGAAGCAGGAAGGAGCCTGAGGGCAGAGCGTGGGTGGGGCCATGCAAGGTTGTTTGGGGAGGCTCAGCCTTCCCCAGCCTTCGATACCTGTGCCGCCCATGATTTTGGAGTTGTTATAGTGAAAAAAGCATCAGGATTAGCTAGAGCCTGAGTCTTAGGAGAGAAAGAGGGAGTGGAGTTAAACAGGGCCTAGGGATTGTTGGTTTAAATAATAGAAAGAATGATAATATTGTCAACAGTAGTAGAGAAGGTAGGTAAAAGAGAAGGATAAGGAGGAAAGAAATAAGGTTTGTTCTGACTTGTTGACCATGAGATGGTGACAGTGCATCCAGCAGGAGAAGTCGAATGAGATAGACATGTTGAGACTGGACAAAAGAAGGGAGTTCAGGAATAGAGCGAGAAATGGGGGTGCCATCATTGTAGAAATGGTCATTGAAGTTATGGGAGAATATGAGTGTCATGGTTATAGGTCGACCTGCACCTCTAACCCCCTTCCTTGTTTTTTTCTGAGATCACACTTCAAGTGTTAAGCCTGACGTCCTTACCTGTTCTGAGGTGGAATCTCACAATTCTTCCCTCCATAGAGCAGGCCCTGGGCTACCATTCCTTGGTTTGGCCCCAGCAATTCTTCCCTTTGGGAGCTTGTGGTCAGCACTGAATACAGTGACTAGCCAACTATCTTAAAACAAAATAATGTTTAATCTTAATAATAGAAACACAGCAAAGCAGAAGAGAAAAAGGATTTTAACACAATAAACAGTCTGTATGCCTAGCTCTCTTATGGAAGGCTTACCATTCCCCTGGAATCTCAACTGCTTCATACCTCCTCAGCTGGGCCGGTGTCTATGTCACCCTGTTCCTCAGGAACAGCCCTTGACAACTGACTCCCCCTCTCCCAACAACTCACTTTAGACATGGCCAGAAGGAATTTGTTAATGACCTTCATGAGTAGCCTTGTTGGAGTGGGAGTGATGTGAGAAAAATCCAGGATGGAGGTACTCCTTGGATATATCCATAGGAACAGCAGTGTCCGAAATGGATTAGCCATTTAAACAGTCCAATTAAAAAAGATGTGATTGGGGCAAACTTGATCCTTCTCTACAGTTCAAAACTCTCATGTGTGGGTTTACGAACCTATGTGGAAGGTTAGCTAAAACTGTGTCTTGTTTAAACAGCTACCCTTTTTTAATATCGCTGATTTTGTATGGGCTGTATCACGTCTGTGTATGCTTGAACTGTTCTTTTAAAATGTGGCGCTTTTTTTTATCTGTGTAGTATTTTGGATTGTACTACACCTATAAGATGAGCTGGGTAAAGACAACGTGGCAATCTTAACCCTGAATTTCTTACTTTTGCAGGTTTAAATACAGAGAAATGTCACTATTTTACATTGTTGTCATATTATTTAGTAGAGCAAATTAAGCCTGTTAAATGCTATTAGGAAGCAATTTTTATTTAACTTAGGGAATGAAGAATCACCATTTATCCTAATGGCCAAATTGCCACTTGCTAGAGCTCTTATAACAAAAGTATTTGGCAAGAGCTCATTTCGCTGCAGTTTGACCTTCCAGCTGCAGTGTGTAGAGTCACTTAAAGGCCATAGCGAAAAAAGTACAACTCTATGTCATCTATCCTCTTACTTTGTGAATGAAAATGCGTCATCAGCTTCCCACCTGGGACTCATATTAAGAACTGTGCGTAAGTCATTTCCGTCCATTATTTCTATAACATATTCAGCTGGTTAATATAATGATAACTTTATAGTTTTCAGATTATGTAAGAGTACCAGCAAGAACCAATGACCAATTCCTCATTAGTCACATTTTCACTCCAGCCTTACCCAGAATTCCAGTTTTCCACTTCTAATTTTAAAGGTGCAGTTTTTTACAGGCATCATTTATGCAATTTGTCTAAGTTACTGGCTGTCCCTGAAGATAAGGTGCTTATATAACCCTCATTAGGATACAGGGTTGCCAATTTTCTACTCGCACAAAACTAAACACCCTTGCCCCACCCCTCCTCCAAGGCGCTGCCCCTTCTCCGAGGCCCCGCCCCCGTTCACTCCATCCCCCCTCCCTCTGTCACTCACTCTCCCCACCCTCACTCACTCGCTCATTTTCACTGGCTTGGCTCAGGGGGTTGGGGTGCTGGAGGGGGTGAGAACTGTGGGATGTGGCCAGAAATTAGGAGTTCAGGGTGCGGGAGGGGGCTCCAGACTGGGGCAGTGGGTTGGGATGTGGGAGGGGTGAGGGCTCCTGCTGAGGGTGCAGGCTCTGGGGTGGTGCCAGGGATGAGGGATTTGGGGTGCAGGAGAGGGCTTTGGGCTAGGACTGAGGGGTTTGTAGGACAGGAAGGGAATTGGGGCAGGGCTTGGGGTGCAGGGGGGTGAGGGCTCCGGCTGGGGGTGCAGGCTCTGGTGTGGGGCTGGGGATGAGGGGTTTGGAGTGGAAGGGAGGGGGCGTCC